AAATGATTTGGATCCTTATTTGGCCCAATTGTGGCCCAATTCACTCAATCTAATTTTCCAATTTTTCTCAATTTTTCCTTTGTAATTTCCATGAACATGGTGTGTGGAAGCTTCCAATTTTGTTCATATCAGTTTCTTATGATACAAGGAACATGTAGGGCTGAGATTAATCCCTTGGAAATGAATGGATGGTTGATTTTGAATTTGTGACTTAAAGTTCAAGAAACCATGAAAATGACCAAGTAAATGAATCCATTTCTCATTTCTGGTTTTGCCATTGTTCTTAAAATATTATTTGCACTCAAAAAATGCACCAATATGACATAAATTGATTTAATCGGCATTAAATCCAAACTAGGCCTTTTCAAACTTCTTTTCATGAAATTTTCTCCATACATTTTAATTTCCAAGCTATGTCAATGATCCCTTGATGTTTGGTTGACCAAATGACCCCATTTGGAACAACTTTGAAGTTGGAAATATTTTCATTTGAAGTGTGCAAATTGGTGAAATGGACCTATAATGAAAATGACCTGGAAACTTACTTTCCCAAAATACCCCTGCCTTGCAAAGCTCATAACTTGAGTTATACAACTCAAAATGAGGACTTCTAACACTTTCTGGAAAGGTGAGATCATGAGGAAAAACTTTCATGTTCACTTGAAGTTAAGGAGAAACATCCTTCTAGCTCAAAAATGTCCTGGAAGTTGGTTGACTTTTGTTAACTAAAATCACATTCATCTAAGGACCTGTAACTTGTCTGATTCATAACTTGAGTTCTAGAAATCCAATGAATGACTTCTAATACTCAAATTAAAGGTATGAACATGCTCTATAAGTCTCATGTTTATGTCAAGATGAGATGAGGCTTTCATCTTGAATTATGTGGTCTTGAAGTTAGACACTAAACTAGGGGATTTTACACTGTCAAGCATAGCAACCCTAGCCTAGCAACTTCTCACACTCTTGAATCTTGATGAAATGATCTTGAAATAATCTTCTATGTGTCTCAACACAACATCACACGATCATAAAGACTTGGAATTAAGTCTTAATCTACTTCAGTTATACTGTTGACTTAGGGTTGACCAGGTGAAAAATCTGATTGCACCAATCTTGATTGTGGCTCCACACACTTGATATAATGAATGACATAAGCTTCAAGATGACCCTCAAGGTATTCCATAAGCTCTCTCAATATTCTCCACCCATAACCATGGATTCAAAACCACTTGATGACCTTAATAGCCCAAGATAGGAGGTACACCATTCTTAACCAATCCACTCCTTCTTATGAGCTTTGACATTCTTCTGATGATGATAAGCACTTGATAGCTTGAATATAACCCCTTGAATAGGCTTAGACCTTTGATAGCCCTCTCTTGATAAGCACACACCTCTCAATCCCCTGTTCATGGACTATGGTATGCAAATGTTAATGCTATGAATGCAATGATAAATGCAATGAAACGAAAGCCAGCTAAAGCAAAAAGTTGGGCAAATTTTGGGGTGTAACAGGTAGGTGTCAGTTAATTCGACCAAACATCCAAATCGCAGAAGGAGTGTTCCCGTTTGAGGATCAATCACACCTATAGAGGTCGTACCTAAAAAAAACTTACAATGGTTATCCCTCGCCAACCAAGGAGTGAGACAGTCACAATCCTTTCAAATAAGTCAGACAAGCCAGTGTCACACGATTTATTCCGAACCAAAAAGAAAAGAAAAATAAAAAGCCCGCTAAGTCGATAACTTGAAAACAAGTGGCTTAGGAAAAAATAGGGTACCCCCCGGACTTCAAAGTCAAAAATATATATCCAAATGAGTCAGTCCAAGAAAAAATAGAGAAATTATAAAAATGATAAAAAAAAAACAAGTCGTGTGACTCCAGACACCAAAGACGAAAAGCGAGTGACTGTCACTCCAAAAACTTGTGGTTTCCTTAACCACCACTTCTGTCATCCAACCTTTGAAAGGTGAGTGCTTGTGTCGAATTAGCTGAATATAGGACTGGAGAATATCAAGGAGAATGAGTGGGTTTAAATAAACTTTGAGCCTTATATCCTTTCTTTCTCAAATCGTGAACCAGACCACGTTACAACCCTCAAAAGTCCTAATTGAAGCAAGGTTTATTTTCAAGGCGTACTTCAACGAGATAGCATTCCTGACTCCCATGAGTTATGCTAGAAGACTTTGTTGGTATTGCATGTGCATGGTGTCATTTCAAAAAATCAGTGTTGCATTTTAACTAGTGACTTGTTCACCAAGTTTGGCGATATCTTTTCAACAAAAATTTCAAGAGTAGCATGTGTGTTGCATTAAAACTTTCATTATCAGAATAAACATTTCCTGCTTGCATACGGGTATTTAGCATCAATGAGGTTTACATAATGAATGTTAGTCAAGAATTCTTATCTTGTCAAGAGGAAATCTCTGGACAGGTATATTGAGGAGCGTGTGGCTAATGGACTCAATCAGAAGATGCCAATCTGGGGCAGTTACGTCAAGAAGTTCCCCCAAAGTTCAGTTAATATGGGGCAGTTATGTCGAGAAGTCTCTCTAAGGATCGGTTAATCTGGGGCATCTTTTTTTCCTCGGCAGCCCGAGCCTGCATCTACATTTTTGCATATAGTTATCATTTTTTGATTGCATCCTCAAATGCGTAGCATTTCCATCTCGTATGGAGCATTACACCATAAAAAAATTCAAACATATGCATGCGAAGCATAGGCCAGTTTTGTTATCTTTCGTGGCAACCCGAGTCACTCTTCAATCAAGACAATGACATATCTCCAGCAGCCTTGTTCGGACAACTCATCTGCTTACTTTCTTTTGGGTTTCAGATCATACGTCGATCATACTTTGTCCATCAACCATTTGATGATGACATCCCCAAGCGGATTCTTTCCGTCAATTCCTATTGACGATGTGGTTCTTTAGATATGATTTTCTTTCCGTCAATTTCTATTGACGATGTGGTTCTTCAGATATGGTGTTTCTTCCCGTCAATTCCTATTGATGATGTGGTTCTTTGGATATGGTTTTCTTTCCGTCGATTCCTATTGACGATGTGGTTCTTTGGATATGGAATTCTTTCTATCGATTCCTATTGACGATGTGGTTCTTTGGATATGGCGTTCTTTCCGTCGATTCCTATTGACGATGTGGTTCTTCGGATATGTTATCTTTTCGTCAATTCCTATTGACGAGGTGGTTCTTTGGATACACTTTCTTTCTGTCAATTCCTATTGACGATGTGGTGGATCTTTGGATATGGTGTTTCTTTCCGTCAATTCCTATTGACGATGTGGTTTTGGGATTCACTGATGTGTTTCCCTGATATGTTTTCTTTCCGACGAAGTATGGTCGGGCTCCAACTGCATATATCCCAATCAAACTGCAAATTTCCGGGTTCTTTTAGTATGCAATCATCTTTTACCTTAAAGGTTTGAAAGCGGTCTCTTTTCATCCTTTCAGGTCCAAGTCGATTGAATAGGGGCAGCTGTTGCGCCCTAAAATTTGCCCTCGCGTTTTCTAACTTTGACTGACTTTTACTTCGCACTCACATGCATTTTCATTAGGTCATAGTTCGTGATCATATTTTGAATTGGTTTTTTAAGACATGGGATCAGGAGTTTTCTTTGAATCAAATCATCGAGTTTCATGCCTTTTAGACACGTGTCAACTCACAATTGGGTGATTTTCTAAATCTCTGTTATTTTACCCAATGAGAGCGTGACACGTGGCCTAAGGATGTTATTTTTGTAAATATTAATTCCTTTTTAGTTTTCTAACTTTTTCTTTTCAAATATTAATATTTTGTACATATATCGTTTTTGTTTGTTAATAGTACTAATAATTAGAATAGAATTTTTATAGGAATTTGATTAGAATTTGAATTAATTAATTAATTTAGAAAATAGAATTAGTTAGGAATAGATTTTAATTAAAATAGGTTTTTAATTAGAATTTAGAATTTAGAAATCAATTTAGAAATATTTTAGTTAATTAATTTAAGAATTAGAAATTAGATTAGATTTTTATTAGGATTAGATTATTAAATAGAATTAGTATAGAATTAAGACTTTTATTTAAAATATAGAATTAGATTAGACTTTTAGTTTAGAATATTAGGATTAGATTATTAATTAAAAATTAGTTTAGAATAGAATTTGTTTTATTAGAATTTAATTAGGATAGAGTTAGATTTTAATTTAATTAATTGAATATAGAATTAGAATAGGTTTTTAATTAGAATTAGAATTTAGAAAATAGAATTAGATTTTAGAAATGGAATTTTAATTAGGAATTAGAATTAGAATTAATTAGTTTTAATTCGAATTAGAATTTTTATTAGAAATTAGGTTAGAATTTTTAATTTAATTAATTAGGATTAGATTTTAGAATTAGGATTATTAATTAATGGTTACATTAGAAATTTGGATTAGACTTTAAATTAAGGAATCAATAAGTTTAGTTAGAATTAAAAATTAGATTAATTAATTAGGATAGATTAGAATTAGATTAGAAATTAAATTAGTATTAGTTAATATTAATTAACAGAAAATTAAACAAAAAAATAAAAAAGGACACGGCTGAAAGATGATTTGGGTATTTAGAGGGAGCACTATTCATCTTCTCCCACAATTGGATGACCTAGCCGCCCTATTTTTACTATTCACTGTCTCCTTCCACAAGAGAACCCTAGCCGCCGCCCATACGTCACCCCCTTTTTTCAAACCTTCAGACCCTTCACCTCCCTCAACCTACTCATTCACCGTTTCCTCCAACCACATTTCAACAACCATTTCCTTCCGCCGATGAATAATTGGAAAACCCAGGAAAAGCTCACAAACCCATCTTCACCACATTCCCCAAATCTTCTTCAAAACCCGTAGAACATTTCACAAAAACACCTCTCGCATCATCTCATTTCTTATTGTTCCTCTTCCTCGCCCCCTTTCACTTTTCTCTCACTTTTTGCGATCTCTCTCTGAAACACAATGTCCGTCGAGAAAGAGAGAGAAACCCAAGTTTACATGGCCAAACTTTCTAAACAGGCTAAGAGATATGAACAAATGGTTGAATGTATGAAGAAAGTTATGAAACTTGATGTTGAACTAACTGTGGAAGAGAGGAACCTTCTCTCGGTTGGATATAAAAACGTCATTGGTGCACGAAGAGCCTCATGGCGTATTATGTCGTCAATTGAGCAGAAGGAACAATCCAAGGGTAATGAACACAATGTTAAACTAATCAAGAACCAAGAAGAGGGATTCTTTGCGGAAGAACACTGCGGTTGTGTTGAGGGTCTGAAGAACAGGGGTCACGTTCGTTAGCAGTGTTTTAGGTTAAACTTTTTTTTTATTTAAAAAAAACGGGCTTGGGCCTGCTGATTTGTTTTGATTGCTTTCTATTTTCCTATTTTTAGCACATCTCATACCCCCTTTTTTGTAGATTTCTTTTTTTAAAAAATAATAATAATATGTCTTTTAGTTTTAATAATTTGTTTTAAATAAGCTTTATAAATTAGTTTTTAGAATATATATGCTACAAATTAGTTTTTTTTTAGATTTTCATTTAATTTAGTTTTTAGATTTTTAAATTTTTGTTCTAATCTAGTTGTTTTTAGATTTTTATATCTAGTTTTTTAGAAGTTTTTTTTTTATATAATTATTTTTTAAATAAGTTTTTTTTGGAATTGTAAATATATTTTTTCTAACTAAATCAAAGTTTTATATTGTTTTTCTAATTAGTTTTTAGAGCTTTTGAACATATTTTTTCTAAAGTTAAATTTTGGTATTTTTATTTATCGTTGAGATTTTACTTTCGTATTATTTCGTTTCGGTCGATGAAGAGACATCCAAGTTGTAGTTTGTCAAATTATTGACGAATAACAACAAGTCCGAGACCAATTTTCTTTACAACTTTTCATTTTCGGTTTTTATTCATTTTGGTCGATGACGAGACCCCTAAAATCATCATCGGTCAAATTATTGATAGATGACGGTTTGTCCGAGACCACCCACTTTTTCTCTCCTCATTTCTTCTTTATTCCGATTTTCATTTAATTTTTCTCGATCCATGAAGGCTTTCAATTCGTAAGCGCCGTTTTATCAAAGTCGATAACCTTCTCGATTTCAAATCTATGGAAAATGACCATTTGGGTCATTTTCTTTACTTTGGGATCGTGATAGGCTACCTTCGATTAATCGACATAATATTTGCGATTAAGACAAGATCTCACCTTCTTTGGTCCGTGCGACACGATTAAATTGGAGAATGATCCTCAATATCATTTCTCTATCTTTTCTTTTGCACGGATATCAACCTATGTGACCTCCTATAGTTCGACTTTCATCGTAAGTCGAGCTACGACGGTTTAGCATCACATTTTGTCTCGATTCAATTCACTAACAAACTAACCACTAACTTTACCTTCTATCAAATATCAACTGCTTTAAATTCAGTCATAATATTCTTGTACATATTGTTATATTTTGTATATTATCCATATCCTGTATATATTCATATTCACTTGTACATTCTTTCAAAACACCTAATAAATTATCAAAACCATAAAACCCTAAATTGGTGGACTGTTGGTTATATAGCCTGTATATTATATGTATCCTGTATATATTCGTATTCACCTCCTATCTTATTCGCAACGTTTCAAAACTTCTTTTTCAAAACTTTTTTCTCTTAAAACCTTGGTCTCGTGCCAAGCGCATTTTCAAAAAACTCTTTTCACAATAAAACTTGAATGGTCGTGGAGTGGTTAGGCGTATACCTTCTCCTATCCCGAGTGCTTGACATTACCTTTAGGGTTCACTGTCGCAAAGCACTTACCATTCCAAATCAAAAGAACATTTTTAATAAGAGAATGAAGTTCTCTTTGTATTGAACTAAAGAGAGAGGATTGAGTGTAGACTTCTTCCTCTTCGAGTGTCAGGATACTCACTGTAGAGTGTGTGGTCTCGATACTCGTCTTTCAATATGAAGACATGCTTGTATTCGCCACACCTTTTCATAACAAAACTTTGAGATAAAGAATTGGGTACTATCCGCAAGGGGTTACTCACCGATGACATATTTCACCCCTAAAAACAACTTCCACAAATCAAACGTGACATCTTGCCTCGAAAGGCAAAAACTATCTTTTCAAAAAGGATATGTTACGTCCGTTCTATCGCAAACAGGTAATGCCTAAGTCTCCAACGAGCGAGCATCAATACATCTAAACTGCTAGAATGTGTATGATAACATCATCCATAAAAACACCGATAACAGTTTCCTGAACTACGTTACTCTGATTTCTCATACCAGATGGGAATACGTAGGCACAAGACGGCGATGTCTTGGCGAACACCCTTTTTTTCCTTTACCCGTAGTAGGTCGAACTACAACTGCTCTGATTCTTTACTTCTTTTAGGTAAATATACGTAGGCACAAGGTCCCCAATCCTTTCCGAGCACGTTCCCATCTTTCCACCCGTAGTTCCCCGAACTACGTTGACTCTAACTTTCTCATACCTGTTGAGAATACGTAAGCATAGGACCGCGAAGTCCTACTGAGTCTCTCTTTTCTCCCCCTTATCTCTCCTTTCCCTATTTCTAGCCCTTCTCTTTATCCATTGGAACACACTTGAAAGGAATAACCTTTAACAGATAACTTCACATATAGACAAACAAATGGTTCCCATCGAGTACGATGGATGTGAGGGGTGCTAATACCTTCCCTTCGCATAACTGGATTTCGAACCCGTTCTTGGTTATGAGACCATCTTATCCGTTTCTTTCTTGGGGTTTTCTCGATGTTTTCCCTTCCCCTCATGGGATAAATAAAGTTCGATGGCGACTCTTCTGTCTTTCATTCTCGCCTCCCCGTCGTTGCATTTTTTCGAGTAGCGACATGGGGGTTTGTATCAACCCAAAAAGGTGTGACCCTCATGAGTTAACACTACCAACCACCATAGAAAATGGTTAAAAGGTCCTTAGAGTTATAGATTCAGGCTTGAAAACATCATCATCATGGCAAAGGCTCGCCACGACAATAACATCCCCAAGGGAATCAACTCTAAGTAGGGCTTTCGTATTCTCCCAACGAAAAAGGCTCCTCGAGGGATTCCACTACAGAACCACCATCCTAATCCTATATTTTTCTCGGACTCGGGTATAGAGCCATCTCATAAAGCACCAATAATCAGAGAACTCCAACAGTGTCACAAGATATAATACTAGGACACAATAAGGATAAACAAGCAAGTAAGTAGTAAATAATCAAACAAGCAAGCAATAAGAAGAGATAAACAAACAAGCGGGTCTAACTCTCGTAAATCGAGTCGAGTTAGGCTTGACTCTCTATAGCATAGGGCTATGCAGATCCTCAGCAGAGTCGCCATCTGTCGTACCTCGAAAAATACAATCCTCGCGATGGACGCGGAAAAAACGTTCGAACAGAGTCGCCACCGAACTTTATTTATTCCAAGGAAGGAATAGGAAAATATTGATAAAACCTATAAAGAGATAAGAACATGGTCATCGCAACCAAATTCTAGGTTCGAGAGTCGATTACACAAGAGGGAAGGTTTTAGCACCCTCTACGTCTGTTGTACTCAACGGAAACCTCTTGATTCGACTCGAGAGAAAAGTTAGCTAAGTTTGCTTGTTTTCTTCTAAACAAATAAGGAGTATAGAATATAGTTTCTAAGGGGAAAATGGGTACTTTTTATTAGGTTGTTCGCCAAGGATTGAGACCCTTGTGCCTACGTACTCCCTCGTGCAATAGGAAAGTCAGAGCATCGTAGTTTGTGATACTATAGTTGGTTAGTTTATTTTATCAAACAAGGGTTTATAGGGTACTAAACAATGTTCTTTTATAAAAGAGTTTTAATCGCATGACAACGAGAATTTGAATTAATGTGTTTGTATTTTGATTGAATGATGATCACTTGAAGCTTAAGAAAGGATCCTCAGGCCCAAGTAATTGGGAAAATGAATTGAATATTCGACTCTCTTTCTCTTTTCCACCCTTAAGTAGGAAATAATTTTGATATAGTTAGAGTAACTTATGAATGATGATTACTCGAGGATTAAGAAAGGCTCCTCGAGCCCAAGTAATCGGGAGAATGAGTCAAAGACTTGGCTTTCTCTCTTTTTCATCTAAGTATTGAAAAAATATGTATGATTTCGTTTATTGTAAAGATAGTTTGATGTAGAATTGAGTTTGTAAAGTTTTTAGAGAAGACAACTCTTTGAACTTAAGGAAGGCTCATCGGGCCCAAACAATTGAGAAGAGGAATCGAAGATAGCATTCCGACTCCCTTTTCATCTTTATTGAAATATAGTCTAAGTATAGTTAAGTTCATTAGATTGATTTTAATAAAATACTCGATGTTGATCGAGGTTTGAATTTGCATGCGAAATGATTAAGGTCTGAACCAATGGAAGGGAGGTCCTATTGGTATAAGGTAAGGTCGATGTCAAGAAGACATGCTCTTGACGCGTCGGGCTTCATTGTCCTCGTTCGGTAGCTTTTCTTGAGTCAGATATTGAATGATGGGTGCCATCCAGCCATGTGCGTTTTCCAACACCATGATTTCCTCCGTTTTCTTGCTTAGCACTTCCCAGGTTTCCTGGATCATTGTTCTATTTAACCTGATGCCTTTAGTTCTGGCCAAACGGGCTAGTAGATATTTCACATTCTTCTATCCATTGAAACTTGCCGATTTCTTGATAGTTGTGAAAAAGTGAATGGACTTATCGGCCTCACAAGATAGAAATTGGGACAAGGCATCCATCCTCCCAGTCAGCTGCTAAACTTCTTTTACTGATGTTGTGCTTCTCATATTAATGATCGTATTGAATTTTTCTAGATTTGACTCTATCCCCCAACGTGTCAGCATGAAACCAAGAAACTTACCAACTTTTACCCTGAAAGTGCACTTCTTCGGGTTAAGCCTCATGTCAAACTTCCTTATTGATTCAAATGTCTCTTACAGATCTTTTACATGGCCCATCTCCTCCGGAGTCTTGATCGCCACATCATCAACATATACTTCCAAGTTTCTCTCTATATGTGATGAGAACACCATATCCACCAACCTTTGATAAGTAACACCGGTGTTTTTAAGACCGAATGGCATCACTTTATCGTAATAATTGCTTCTGTTGATCAAGAATGTTGTTTTGGAAGCATCCAAGGGGTTCATACGTATTTGGTTCTAGCCTGAATAGACATCCATGAAGCTGAGAAGACAGAACCTGGATTCTCCATTGATGAGTCTATATATGTGCGACAATGGATAAGGATCATACGGGCAAGCCTTTTTTAGGTAAGTGAAATCTATCCACATTCGCCACTTTCTAGATTTCTTTTTCACAATGACAACATTGGATAACCAGGTGGGGTGTTTTATTTTCTGGGTGAACCCGACCTTCAAAAGCTTACCTATCACCTCCGTGACAACCCTTCTTTTCACTTCTCCGTCTTTATGCTTTCTTTGCATTATGGATTTCAATGATGGATTAAGAGAAAGATGATAACATACGATATCCGGGTCGATCCCGAGCATGTCCGAAGGTTTCCAAGAAAAGAGGTTGACGTTGCCTCTCAATACCTTGATGATGTTTGTTCTTCTTTCTAAGATAGTCCCAAACCTATCTACGCAATTTGAAAAATCTTCAGCTCTGATCTATACCTTTTTTAATTCTCTAATATGGGTTAAACTATCATCCGTCGGGTCCTCCCGAGGGTCGAGGTCGACCATGTTCACCTTTAAAGGATTTTTCAGTCGTTGGATGATCTTGTTGGGCCCTCTTTTTCAACTTTAGGCTATTCTTATAGCATTTCCTGGCCAAGCCCTAATCGTATCTAATTATCCCTACACGCCCTTCGTCTAAAGGGTATTTCATGGTGAGATAAATAGTGAATAGTGTAGCCTCTAGAACATTAAACGTCGGCCTTTCGATGATGATGTTATACGATAAAGATGCATTTACTATCGGATATCTCACTTTAATGTCTTTGGCACTATATCCACTTCCAAAAACAGTCAGGATAAGCAAGTGCCCTAACACCTAGACCTGTTCCCCAGACAAACTGACCTGGGTACCTTTGAAAGGTAGCAGCTCAGATGTATCCATGTCTATGCCTTTAAAAGCATCCAATATAATATGTCAGCAGAATTACCCGGTCGATTAACACCCGCTTGACACTCCAATCATGAATTTGGACTTTTATGACCATTAAATCATTTTCATGCACTAGGACACCTCCTGAATCCTGTCTTAAAAAGATGTCAGCAACAAGTATTTCTTTTTCTCCTGAAAACATCTTTTATGAAACATGCATTACTGATCGGGTGTATCTCTTTTTGGCCGAGCTTGTTTCACCTCCACCAGAAAAACCTCTCGAGATGGTGTTGAGTGTGTGGCGTGCTACCCTTATTTCACGCACCTCCTTGGTACTTTTTCCCTTCTTGGCGGAGAGATTCTCTGAGTTTAGCTCTCTTCGAGAAGGACTTCTCTTTCTTGTAAACCCTTTGACATCTTTCACGTATGACAACAACCGGCCTCTTTGGATCAAAATCTCGATTTCTCTTTAGTTTATGACAATCTTCAATATGGTGGCCTCTCAGACGATGATAAGCACACCAAGCATCCTCGTTTTTTCCCATTACAACATTGGCCCTCTTGGGGCGTTTGGGTTTCGGTAACAATTTGAGATGGTACACTTCACGTAGGATATCTGTGCGCTTTGAATTCAGTAGGTAAGGTTCTTGGCAAAGCTGTCGTATGGCCTCCGGGAAGGCTTCATCGCCGATTTGTCCCTCGACTCTTTAAAGGATGGCAAAGGCGGTGGTTTGAAATTCTCTAGGACTTGATCGCCCCATATTGCTTCTGAAAGAGGTTGCGGATCGAGAAGTTCCTCTTCTGCTTCCTCCTCCCCAGTGCTTTGCGTTTGCTGAATTATGTGCACATTTTCTTGCAAGGACTCACTCTGCTACCGCAGATTCTCCACAATTGTCAAAAGTTGTGCCATGTCTAGTGGAGTGCGAGGTTAACTCTTGCTGAGAGACAATTTGGACATCTTGTTATTACATTGTAAATGATGTTTTCATGCAGCCTGAAGAGGTTTTACCGAGGCCCCACAATGGACGCCAAATGTTCTTGATAAACACTTTTGGATAATCTACCTGAAGCGAATGAGGTAAGACCACAAACGCAATGCGAATCAGGTGTTCTTTGATTGTTTTTTCCCTCTATTTCTCCTCAATGGGAGCCTTTTTTATACCCATCTCACTTCCTGCGATTATTAAGAAGCGCCCCTTAAAGTTTCATGGTTAAATGATGTAAATAATGTTTGATGTCATCGTCATTATCGTGTAACGCCTTCTTTATCACTTTTTGTAACTCATGCAACCATGGAGCTACCATTTAACCATTCCACCAATAATATATATCGTCCGAAAACGTGTCTTTGAGAATCAAATGACACAAACTTCTACTTGTCTCATATATAACAACTCAACAATTGTTACTTTTTGCAAATATCCGTCATACAGACTTTTTCATGCTCAACCGTAAGCCTTATAGCCCCGGCTTTAAGAAACCCATGATAAATAAATAAATTTCAATTAAACTCATTTATTTATACACAAATAGTTTAAGAACAATAAGTAATCGACCACAAATAATGTATATTACAAATATTTCCATTATCTCAAAATAAATATTTTTAGTCTAAAATATTTGTGTTAAAATTATTGTTGTTTTACTTTTTCAATGCAATATAATTCATTTATAATCAATTTCACCTTAATTAAGTATTATTTATATATTCTCAAAGCATCAAATTTCACTCTGCTAATGCATATGTGACCAATAATAATTAAAAACAAATTTATAAAATTATTCGGATTATTCTTTCGCTCATTATTATTATTATTTGTATGTAACAACCTTAAAAATAATCCTTAAAATTATTCGGATTATTCTTTCGCTCATTATTATTAAACTAACACAAAATATCAACAACACAAGTCAGAAACGTGCCATCTCATTTGATTTCAGCAAACAGAACTGAGCTGATTAACCTTTGTTTATATTTAACCTGAGCTAAAGTATAAAATAAAGTAAAAAGAAAATAGTACTAGTATCACGTTATGATGAAAATTTTAAACTTCAAACGCATGGTTATCAACCCGTCCACCTGTTAATGCTATTGGCCGTGGCACACATCGTCGCCATCATCATCCCCACCTCCTACCAAACCATCCAACGGTCAAACCTTCACAATCACATTTCCCGAAACAAATAACCTACGTGTCCCTCACTAGCCACTACCACTGTGCACTTCTCTTTACTCCATTGGCTCTCATTTCTCACAGATTCACACTCTTTCTCTTTCTAGCTACTTTCTCCCATCCTATCGCCACGTTTACTTCCCCAACCAATCGCATTCTTCCCACTCTTCCCTATCTTTACTGTTCAAACACGTGTTTTTTCTTACACGTGTCTCTTTCCCACCTTCCTATAAAACCTACCCTCGTGTTCATCACTTCTTCGTATGCATTACTATTAGCCATTTTGATTCCTTCTTTTACTTCACTTTGCCATTTTTATACCAAAAAAGTGATACAAACAAAAACTCTGAGTTCATTGAGAGAGAGAAAGAGAATGGACGGAAGAGGAGGTTGTTGCATAGTCAGAAATGCAACTGGTGCATACGATATGTCAACCATGGAAAGAATAATGCTTAGGTTTCGCCCAATCGCTCCGAAACCTTCAGTAGCTAGAACCACCGCTTCTGAAGGCTCTTCATCGGAAAGCGGGGAGGCTTTTTACAAAACCGGCAGAGCCAGGAGGAAGTACGTCAAGCAAAACAGTACAACTGAGAAACGAAGGATCCGCCGGAAGAAAACCGTTTCTTCACCGGAAAATAATCATCCGGTGCCGGTGACTCTTCCTTTACTTCCGGAAACTCCCGATCCGAAGGAATCTCCGGCGAGAGATCTAACCCTAGCGGCAGAAAATAAAAACATGCCACGGCGTCAGTGGCTGAGTTTCGAGAACCATAACAAGGTAGTAGAAGAGGAACCAAATATTCGGTACGGCGCGGTGGATCCGGTTACGGTGCGGTTAAGTTATTATTCCAGCGCGACGGTTGAGTGCGTGATGGACGCGTGGGTTGAGGGAGAGGGGTTAGGGAGTACGGATGAAGAAAAGAGAATGAAGATGAGTGTGGACACGTGTCCAGGGTTTATATCGGACGGTTACGGTAGAGTGACGTGGACAAACGGTGCGTACAGGGAGATGATGGGTGAGGGAGGTGTGGCGTTGCTGATGAAAGTAAGTGGTGTGGCTCTGTTTCCGTCGTTCACGTGTAGGGTTAGAGTGGTGCAGTTTGAATGTGGGAGCGGAAGGGAGAGAAACGCTCTGACGCTACCTTGTGATGTGTGGAGAATGGATTTTGGTGGGTTTGCATGGAGATTAGATGTTAAAGCTGCTCTTAGCTTGAGATTGGGTTGCTAAAGCCTAAAGCTATATCACTACTTTAGAAGTCTAATTTCTGGTTTAATTTTTTTTTTTCTTCTGCCAACAAGTCAAGGCCACTGTTCACTCTAGTTCTGTGTATCTAGTAATTGGTAGTTGTATTTGAGTTGAACCATAAATGTACAAAACTATGTTGCTTGACTATAAATTAGAGTTGTCTGAGTTTGTTGTCTTTGGTTCCTTTGAGCTTGGAACACCGGATAGCTAATGAATGTGTACACACACTATTATCTATGGTTATCGTTTTGTAATTGTTTTTCTAATGCCTTAATTCAACTAGTTGATGTTGTTGTACCTTAGCTACCGATGGTCTCCGAAATTTTTTCTTAAATAATTGCAATGTCTTTGTAAATTTGATTTCTACTTATATTGTATTTTGGCCCCTTTGGTTTAATAGTTAAGATGGTAAAAATATAATTATATTAATACCATAAATTAATTATTATTATTATTATTATTATTCCATTAAAGAAATTGTGATGAAATGATGAAATAGAGGAATGGTGTGATGAAGCAAGTTTTTGATATGGCGGAGATGGAGTAAATTCATAAGGTTAATATTTAATGTGTGAATTTAATATCTAAAAGCATCTTCAACAGTAAATCTATTTTTGGATTTTTTGTGGGATCTATTAATCTACGTCAAATGAATTTTTTGTGGGATCTATTAATTTACGTCAGCTCGAAACAATTTAACTAGTTTTTCACTCCAATAATATAATTCTAAAGAATTCATATTACGTTCCACAACTTTACTTTATATATTAATATTTTATTTATATTAAATTTTATATCAGTTAAAATAATAATTTTAATTTTAATGTTTTAGATTAAATTTGATATAAAATAAAAAGTAAAAATAAATTAAACTTATAATTTAAAATGATAATTAAAATTAATCTAAAATACATGATATATAATTAAATACAATAAAAATAAATAACATCACATAATTAATCAAACTTAAATTTCATCATCTTCATGTCCAAAACGTTCTCAAATATGTTCGACTAGATCTCCTTGAAGTTTACGATGAACTTGTTTTTCTTGAATACTTGCTCTTCTTTGTAGTCTTGTTGCAAAATTCAGATGAGGTCCGCTAAATGTTTCAGTTGTTGAGTTATTGATATTCACATTATCATAAGAATAATCAAAATTACCTATATATGTATGTCGTTCGTCTTTCACAATCATGTTGTGCAATATGATGCAGGCATATATAGTATGCTTGAGAGTGTCTATGTGCCAGGCACGCGCTGTGCCACGTATAATTGCAAATCGAGATTGAAGCACTCCAAATGCTCGCTCCACATCTTTTCTAGCCGATTCTTGATGTTGAGCAAATAATTTTTTCTTTTCTCCCTGTGGCATTGAAATAGTCTTGACAAATGTAGTCCACTCGGGATATATACCATCTGCTAAATAATACCCCATGTTATATGGTGTCCCATTGATTGTATATTGCACATTTGGAGCACGTCCTTCCAAAATATCGTTAAACACGTTGGATTGGTTTAGCACATTAATGTCATTTTTTGAACCTGCAATACTAAAAAAGGCATGCCAAATCCATAAGTCTTGTGATGCCACTGCTTCAAGCATGATTGTGGGCTTACCATGATCACCTCGACAAAATTGTCCTTTCCATGCAACAGGACAAATTTTCCATACTCAATGCATACAATCGATGGAACCCAACATACCTGGAAAGCCACGTGACTCTCCCATTTATAAAAGATGTTCAACATCAGTGTTGTTAGGCTTTCTCAAATACTCAGCGCCAAATACAACATTGACACCCTTAACAAATCTTTCTAAGCACTCAATTGAAGTGCTTTCACCGATTCGAACATATTCGTTTACAAGGTCAGCAGGAAACCCATACGCCAACATACGAATAGCAGATGTACATTTCTGCAATGGTGAAAGACCCATTTTACCTGTTGCATCGACCCTCATTTGGAAATATTCATCATGATTTCCAAGGGCATCTACAATTCGAGTAAATACATGCTTATGCATTCTGAACCTTCTTCGGAATTGAACATCTGTGTATACTGGGTTTTCCGAGAAGTAGTCATTGAATAATCGATTGTGCCCTTCTTCACGACCTCGATCTACCGTTATTCTTCTCTTTGGCCTAGAGGAACTTCCAGATCGACGTTCATTTTGAAGCTGTTGTTCTTCATCACCATCGTCCATAAATTCTTCTTCAACCAACTCCCAAAATTCTTGATCGTAAGTATCTGAATTGTCTGAATCCATTTAGTGAGTAAAGAATAAGAGAAAAATGAGAAGAATAAGATGAGAATGAGAGAACAATGACATAAGTGGTAGTATATATAATGGTTAGTTTGAATAACGACTAGTTTGAATAACGGCTAGTTTAAATTAAAGTGGTAGTTTGAATAATGGCTAATGACCATTTTACATAGGTGTTGATAAATTAAAGTGGTACTAATGACCATTTTACATAGGTGTTGATAAATTAAAGTGGTCCTAATGACCATTTTACATAGGTGTTGATAAATTAAAGTGGTACTAATGACCATTTTACATAGGTGTTGATAAATTAAAGTGGTACTAATGACCATTTTACATAAGTGATACTAACTACATTCCATATTTTTTTTTTCATCTTATTACAATATTTTTCATGAATATCTCGTTGACTATCATTCATAGTAGAAGTGTCTTTCATCATCATTTGCACTACCCTTAATCCTAGCTCGTCCTCCTTAGCTTGCGCAAGTCTGTCCATTGCTATTGCTCTTTTATTCTTTGCATCTTGCGTTGCATTTGGAATTTCTGATGCCTTACCCTTCCTTTTTGCTGCTTTTTGTCCCATTGGACGTTCCATTGGTGATGATGAGTTAAACTCATAACTTGAAGTTGTATCTGGGTTCTCCGATGATGCCCCACTAGCATAAGTCTTTGTTATTTTTGTAGAACTTCCAATCGATTCTTTGAAGATGCGCCATTTAACTTCATCTTTTAACAATCGCCATGCATACTCAAGATTGAATGTTGTACCTTGATCCTGAGCAAAAATAGCATGTGCATCTGCCATGACATTGGTCTCGGATGTCCCACTTTTCTTTTCTTTAAGAGCTATTTTGTAACATCCAACAAATTTTTGAACCATGCCATTTATTCTATGCCATCGACATTTTAACTGTCCCCCTAACTTTTCCCGCAATTGCCCACGATATTGGTTATAACTAGCCGCAATTCTTAACCAAAAACTCCCAGCCTTTTGATCAACTCCCACAATTGGATCCTTTGAAACATTGAGCCATGGTTGGATAAGTAGTATATCATCTTCCCTTGTAAATTGCTCTCGAGATTTTTTTTAACGACAACCCTTTCTTCTTTTTCAGTACCAACTTGAGTAGAAAATGGTGGGACTTGAGTAGAAAATGGTGGAACTTGAGTAGATAATTCCATACTTTTAGAATTCATTTGAGGTATAAGATACATATTTGGATTGTTTGGTGACGAAAGAAATATGGCGGGGTTTGTTGGCACCAGTGAAATTTGAGAATTTTGAGGATTAGGATTTTGAGAATTTTGCATGTAATTGAAAAAAGCTTGTTGATAATGAAAATGATTAGGATACATTTGGCCTAAACAATTGTAATTTGAAGTAAAAAATGAAATTTTGAGTTAAATATTTTGTACAAAAAAATGCTAATGAGAAAAAATTGTTGAAAAAAAATTAAAAGTATAGGAATAAAATGATAAAATTGTGAGAGAGAAATTTCAAATTGAAGAGAAAATAAAAGTGAGTGAAATTTATGTTGGTAAATTTTTGAAAACTAAAATTATATTTATAATAAAAAATAAGTTTAAAAAAATAAAATAAATAAAAAAGTAGCCGTTGAAACGACTAGTTTTTATGTTTATTATATTTTAATAGGTTGAAAAAGTTTTGGAACGTTGCTTAAGGAAACACCGTCCGCCAGCCTGGAATGAAGCATAATGCAAATACATGTGCTAGCTGGTGAACTACCCTAAGAATCCAATAAAAATCCAACGCTGGAGTTGGTCTAAGTAAAAAGTAGTGTGAGATTTGATGGAGATAGAATAATTTTGCAAAGTTATTAATATTTTAACGTTCAATTTATTATTTAAGTGAAAAGTAGTGCTGAGAGTGGAAATAATTGAATATTTAAAATTATGTGAATTGATTTTTATATAGTATAGATGGTTAAAATCGTGTGAGAGTGGAAATAAATTGAATATTTAAAATTATGTGAAGTGATTTTTATATAGTATAGATGGTTAAAATCGTTTGTGTGTGATTTGACGTTTTGCAAGGATAGTCGTTCGATAAGATTTAATAGTGTGAGAATGATTGTGTTTGTAAATTATTGTATTATTATTTAGAGTTTTAATAGTATAAGATAAGAGTTTTGTAATATAAAATAGGATAATATTAGAAAATATGAAAAATTGTGATTATTTAGAAATTATGAATTAAATAATCATCATAATCACTTTTATTCAAACATTCATCTTCAACTTAGTTAACAAATTGAATTCTCCATCAACAAAACACTACAAACCGAATCCTTCATAACATCTTCATCACCTTCCATTCACAAAACTCCACCAATAATCGCACAATTCCAACAACATAAACCATACACTAAACCTTTCAACATCACATAACTTACAAATAGAATCAACAAAAACGAGAATAGATAAAACAATAGAGAAGATAAAGCAAGTCGAAACTGAGAAAGAGTGGAACATTGTCACTGAAAATGACCATTGCGCGCTACCCTTCAGCATTTTCTCCACCACGCACGTCACCGAGGTCTTTCACCGTTGAAACCGCCGAAAGCTACCACAACCCACTTGTCACACACGCCTTTCCAATCATGTTGCCCCATCTCCACGACAACCAACCGGTGACATCGCACCTTCACCTCCCTATCTCGAACTCACTGGCGAAAACATGTATTCATGACCGT